AAGAGCTGACTCATTTGAAAAGACCCTGATGCTGGGAAAGATTGAGGGCAGGAGGAGAAGGGGACAACAGAGGATGAGATGGTTGGATGGCATCACTGACTCAATGGACATGGGTTTGGGTGGACTCCAGGAGTTGGTGATGGACAGGGAGGCCTGTTGAACTGTGGTTCATGGGGTCACAAAGAGTAGGACATGACTGAGCGACTGAACTGAACTGATACAGCAGGCATCTTTTCAGTGTATATCCAGGGAACAAATACATCATTACAAAATAATACATTTTATGACTCAGCTTCATTTTGCCTTCATGCTGTTCTGTGCTCAATATGTGAATGGAGTAGACAAATCTAAATAGTTGAGGGGTGGTGGATGGCAGGATAACCCATGGAGCCAAGTTTATTTCTACTGATCCATGGTTTATTTCTACTGATACACCAAATCAGAGGCGCTCTGAGCTGTTACTGAAATTTCCCTTACACTCTAAATTCAGAGTTCATATATGGTTTGTCCTATCCACATTCATCTATCACGTATCTGCTTCTTGAGTAATAGCATTAAGAGTTTTAACCAGCAAAGAGATCAATACAAACCCCAATTCACTTGAATGCACAATTCACTCCTGAATGGTTTATATGAACAACTTTGAACATATATAGTAACAATATTCAATACTGTTTTTATTTGTAGATTTATATGTGAAGAAAAGTGACTTGGTGCAAGGCTGCCTTCTTGGCTGCACCAAATGCTGGTGGCCCCGCCTTTAGAATCAAGCAACTAAGCTTTCCTGATTCATGAACCCCATGACACAAAATTTACTTCATCTGTACCTTAAGGCTTGTGACAGTTGTCTCAACCCTCTCCTCAAATGATTTGAAAGTAGGAGAATTCCTAAAATAAAAAAAGAGAGGTCAGCTCCAAAGACCTGGCTGTCTTAGCAACTATGCTATCTAGTTTCTAGTCTTGTTTGCAAACATCACCTCTGCACCAGAGCTAGTTGTTGGTTGGGCACCTACACCAACCATGTTTTAAAAGATATTTCACTTCTGCTAGGTTAGATCCAGAAACCATAACCTACCATGGGATTTTTCTAAGTAAAATTGTCAGATGCTTAGCTATAGAATAAATAATATAGCATTTGGCAAGAATACAACTGGCATAATTCCATGTTGAACCATAAATAATTTCTAGTGAGTCAAAGAAGTGATAGCTTAATTTTTCATTTACTAATTAATTATTTCTATCACAATATGCCTTTTCCAAACCCAGTTATTTTATAACCACTGGAAAGTCTATCTGAAGAATGTCATGTTCAAGTTTTCCCCCATGGAATTTTAAAAGTCATTTATTTTTAGTGAATGTGAGACAAGACAGAAATAGCTACAGGGGAAAAAAGGTTCATATGTTTTCAAACTTTAAAGTTTTTAAGTTTTAAAACTAAGTATTTTGTCAGTGTCCAGGAAGCAGTGTTTCTGAAAGTCAATGCCTTCTTTATTTTAGGTTGAAATATACTCATTACTTGTCTAATGCTTGATCAAAACAGTGCTATTTGCATGTTATATTTCCTTTCAAAGAAGATACTTATTTGTTCTTACTAGACAGAACTTTGCAATCTATTGACATTTTATTTGTGACTCAGTCATTGTGTTAAATAATCTACATACCATGTTACACTTCTAAGATTTAGATTTTTTCATTTGGTGCTTTTTGGTTTCCTATACTGTATTTGTCTACATGAAATTATGGGTTAATGACATCATTACCCTTAAAAGTGATATCAACCAAGTTCAATGATATCAACTGAGTCCAACTAAGGCAACTGGAACTGTCATCATTTTCAGGTCAAATAATTCAACTGAATGTTACTATATTTGATAAGCCACTTTCTAGTCTCTCTTGAGTGCAGAAGAAATAAACTAAGAGAAATGACCTAAGGAGACTTTGTAAGGGAGAATGATTATCAAACATGGGCTTCATTGTGTGGTGTGGGCTGTAGCATGGCTCTAATACTATCAAGAGAAAACTAACGTACACAATATGTTTTTGAATGAATTTGTTAGAGTTTGTCTGTCAGGGCTGATACTTTGGATGGTCAGAAATGCATTTGCATCCAGGTTGCATGAATTAACAATGTTGAGCCCCAAGGGACCAAGCATAGCATCACATCTTGTATATGACTCAAATATGAGTCAAATTCCTATGAGCAATCCTCCACAGTACCTGTCTCATGATGAAACATTAGTGAAACTGCATGGAAATGATTCAAAAGTATTTTATTACCACCTTACTTCCAGTGCACATTTTATTTGGCCAAGCTGGTCACATGACTACCTGTTACCCATCAGTTGTATAGGACCACAATGGGCAGACACTTAGTTCATCCTAATGGTTCATAGTGTATGTTAGTTGAGTAAAATCCCTTTTTTAAAAAAAGTTAATTTCAGGCAAGCTCATAAGGGACACATTTGACCCATAAGTCATTTGATTATTTCTGGCTCCCAGAGGAAAGCCATACTAATTTTTTTCAAGCCTTCTTTGGACACTCAGACAAAATTTAACAAGTAAGGAAGCTCAGAGTTGCAGGGTGCACTGGTCAATGTTCTTATGCTAGGGGAGCAAGTCACCCAAATATAATGATGTAGCCATCTGTGCTCTCTATTTTTCCCCACATTAGGGAAGTCAAATGCTATGGTCCAACTTGCAAAGTCACAACATAGCCCCCAGTGTAGAAGAGACATCAGCAGGTATAATAAAATGGACATTCCTCTAATCTGATTACACTTGAGTGCATGCTTGGAGAACAGGGAGAAACTGCAAATAACCCTAGAAAGAATTTGGCTTCAAAGTGCTCGAACTGTTTAGAGTAACTGAGCTCCCTCTAGAATGTAATCACACCACAATATGTAATATAAAGCAGGAAAGAAGAGACCCAGTTCTGAATGAAATGAGGGAGGGCTCCAGGGGCTAGATGTCCTCCCACTGAGCCCCTCCCCAGAGCAGCTGGAGGGTTCCTGGAAGCACCTTGGGAGGAGCCTGAAGTCTGGTTCTAGCCCTTTAAGCGTGATGAAACTGCTATCATCGAAATGATCTTCCCAAAGCTGCCAAGTTTACTCCTAGCAGAACTGGGCTGCAACCTGCATCCTCTGACTCCCAATCTAACATTTTGATTTTATCTGATCGTATCACTGCATCACACCAACTGGAAGCCAGAGGAACACCTTTCTTTGGAGTTTTCAGCTTAATGGCATTTTTATTGTTCAACAGACTCTTTGCTTTAATATATCCTTTAATCCTAATGTTATCCTCTCTAGAACTGTAGCCCTCTTTGTCTCCTATTTTTTTCATTTAATGCTGTGGCAATAAAATGATTTCCCCCTTTACAGGTGTGCTTGGAATGTTCCAGGCCCCGTACTGAGTGCTTTATCCAGACCATACATCTCACAACAGCCATTTCAAGTAGATAGATTCTCATTTCTCCTAGTATACGGGCAAGAGAATGGAGATTGAAGTAGATTTGGTAAATTGTCTCAGGTCATACAAATCAGGAACTGCTGGATTTAAACTAGTGTGTCCAGTCAACAGCCCGAGCCCTCCACAACTACGGTTCTTTTATAGCACTGTCAGCCTTCTTTTCCTGAGGGCCATCAGAAAAGAGAATATAATAGGTCATGGCGCTTCCCCTCATATAAAAAAGGAAAAAATCCACAATAAAAGTAACACTTCATGCACTTTCTGCATTGAGATTATGTAAACTCATTTACACACATTACCTCATCGCAGGCATACTTATGGAATGGCGAATCGAGTAGCTTCAGGGCAAAAGCAGATTAAAGGGGAAACAAAAACAGAAAAAAGAAGATAGTACAATATAAGTATGTGAGAAACTCCTCATTCACAGTTTTAAAACAGCAATTTCAACTATCTGAAGTATTCCCTGCCCTCCCCACCAAGATGATATTTGTTTTTGTTGGGTAGGATGGGCCACAATCATTTCCAAAGGAATAAAGGAAGAGCAGATAGTCTGTGGCTGCATATTATTTTATTGGGTTAGCCAAAATGCTCGTTCAGGTTTTCTGCAAGATCATATGGAAAATCCCAAACAAATTTTTGGCCAACCCAATACTTTCCCTGTAAGCCAGGAAATCTGAGGAGAGTGTCTGGTTCCCCCAGGTCAGCCCAGCAGCCCATGTACATGACTCGGGGGACATGACTCCTGGTCCAGCTCCCTCCTCCCGTTTCAGGGGCGAGCGGCAGGGCCCAGCAGGCAGAGCCAGGCATCTAGCAGCTCATCACCCCACGTGAAGCTCATCAGACTATGCAGAGTTAACATGAGTCAATCAAGGAAACACGCCAAGTAAACACACTTCACATAGTCCAACGTGGGAGCAAGGGTTTCCGCCTCCATCCTAGGACAACTGGTACAAGGATCAACTTTTCTGAGACTTCTAAGAGCATCAGCTGTCTCACCTTTTTAATCCTGCAGCGACTGATTCATTGTCCCTCTGACTAACTGACTATTATTTCTATGTGAGGAACTTTTCTGAGACTTCTAAGAGCATCAGCTGTCTCACCTTATGAATCCTACCATGATTGATTCATTGTCCCTCTGACTGACTGGCTGTTATTTATTTCTATGTGAGGTCCACTTAGAAATCAGGGTGTGTGGAGGGAGAAAGCAAAATGGGGTTCATTTTCCTAGGCAAGCATTCCCTCATCCACTTTCCAGCACAGTTCCTGCCTGCTCCTCTCCCAAGCTAACAGTTAAGGGATCAAATCCACCCTCACCTTCCCCAACAATATCCACTGAGGGTAGGGTTAGTAAATTTACTAGAACTTTACTAGAACTCAGAAAGAAAAGGACAAAGAAATGCAGCGGAAGGGAGGTGGGAGGGGGGACCGGGATGGGGAACACATGTAAATCCATGGCTGATTCATGTCAATGTATGACAAAAACCACTACAATATTGTAAAGTAATTAGCCTCCAACTAATAAAAATAAATGGGGAAAAAAAGAAAAGAAATGCAGCGGATATTTACAGACACTCCATTTAGAAATCATAGGCAAAATATTTCTTCATAAATTACATTTAAAAAGGAGAATTACTAAAAGAAATTCATGAACATTATCACGCATTCATCTCTTAAATATAGGTAGTTTTCTTAGGAAAAGAAATTTTTTTTAATTTATGTAATAAGATCCCACCCCAAAGGAGGCTTAATTCAGAGACCTGGGGCTGACAATTGCACACGTGTTAACATTTGTTCTCTCCACTTCAACTTCAGAGGGTACAGAAAGTTGAAGCTGAACCATCTGCCTAAATAACAGTTATAAGAAGTTCAGAAAAACACGACAGTCTAGAGGAAGTAATTCTGTTTCTCGACTTTACTTTCTGCCAGTTTCATATACATCTGCAGTGCACAATTTCCACTTTCCTTTTCTTCTAAGGACCTCTGCCACGTAGACGGCATGATGCAGAAAGAGATCCCTGAGGATGACTCAGCAAGTGAAAGTGATGCATTAATAAATGATTCAGAAATGAGATAAACAAGTGCTGAAATAGATGCAAACACATTAGGTGCCCTGTACTCTGTAACTCTGGGGTCATGAACACTCTCAGGAAAAGAGCTCTGGGGCCGAGGCACGCCCACCACGGTGCTCTGGGGAGGAAGGAAGCTTCGAGGGAGGGAGCCAGTTGGGCCCCGGGGCAGCGCTTACCCGATGGAGTGAGACCTGCAGCCACGGCAGCACCGGAAGAAGAGCGGGAGCAAGGTTAGCGCATCAGGATGCAGAGGAAGGACCACGCTGCCCGCTGTCCCCATCCAAGAGCCCCAGGGAAAAGATAAGGGGCCCCATTCCTTACTCTGAGTGCACTGGCTTTTTAACGTCTTCACAATTGCTTTCCCAACTCTTATATGCTGTGCTTCTCACCGTTTTTCTCATGGCTATAGCTGGATTCTCTGTTAAAGTTACATGCTTTGTCCAAAGATTTCCTCTCCACTAGCTTACATGCTGTTTGAGCGAATTCACCCAGAAGTGCCAAGAAGATGGCAACATTATTATTACAAAAATGATTTTCTAAATAAAATGATTTTATTATTATAAAAATGATTATTATTTTAAAAATGCAAATAGCTTGCATTTCTTCACAGAGTCCTTTCATGAATGTGACTTCGCGTTAACCTCAGAGAAAACTATATGGTTAGGTAGCTATTAGCCATGTTATCCAGCAGATGGAGAAGGAGGCAGAATTCCGTGACTGGGCAGAGGGGCCTTCACTTAGGGGTCATCAGGATAAAAGGAGGACCTCAGCTCAGGAAATATTATTTATTTTTATAAAACATCTAAATTAAATTTTAACATAGTGCTTTTCACTCAGTTATTAAAAGGTCCAAATTCTAAGTTTTGGAAATCTGTATTAACTTATAGGGATTTTAAAGAAAATTTGAGATGTCCTGTGTTTCTCCTGAGGTATCTAAATTTTTCTGGCAATTTTTTTGAACAAATTCAGAAATGTGTTCCCAGAATTCACAAAAAGATATTATGATGTAACCAACAAAATAAAAAATAATATATTAATACTTTCAAACTGCAAAGGGGTTCAAAGTAAAATGCCTGAGATAAAATTTTTAAATGTCCCATTATCATTTTATAAATTGGCAAATTAATTTGAACCCCAAATTGAAAACCCACTAATTGTTCTCATTTAAAAATCGTTATTGTATTAAACTTAAGTAGTTTTCAAATATGACTTTTACATATATTATTTGTTCTAGTATAATCAAAAGTAATAATCCTTTGTAAAACTTGTTTTCACAGGGACTTATCCTCATTTATATATAGATGTAAGATATTTAGCTTGAGAAAAATATAGATCGGAAAATATAGGTCTACACAATATTACAGGATCATAGTTGAATCTCTAGTAATAAAGACTACATTTCCCAATATTTTTAGACAGTTTATAATGGAAGTGTTGTGTCCTCTACACAGAGCAGTAATTAATGAAAAGTTTGGAACTCCTGGGAAACAGATTATCCGTTATGCTAAAACAAAGCCACATTGAAACGGCAGGAGAGGCAGTCAACACACCTTGATATTATGCCCAGTTTATGCAGGAACATGAGTGTGTCAACATGCTGTATGTGTGAAACACAGTCTTCATTCTTTATAACTCATGAAACAGCACACTCCTGTTCAGGGACTCTTCCTAATTTCTGCCCTGGAGGGCCACCTTGTAACTGAGATAGTTTCTTAGTAAAGTTAAAAACTAGCATTTACTGAATGTTTAACACATGGCATGCTGTCTTCTGCTACTGGCATAATAACTTGATGACGTTGTTACTCTTATCTACACTTATAACTGAGAATACCCAGGTACAGGTAAGCTAAGTTACACTTGGCTTCCTCAACACCTGACCAGTTGAAATCAGATCACCTGGGAGCTTATTTCAAACAGATTCCTAGATGCCATTCAAGACCTACTGAGGTTCAATCTCAAGAAAGAGGTGGAATCTAGGAATATGCATTTAGCAAGCTTCAGAGGTGTCTGTAAAGTCTCCTACAGTTGGAGGAACACTGTTCCTGTTGGCAGTATTATGCCACTGTGATCATTGTTTCAACTAAGTATGTGGAAAACAAATTCTATAAACATGACAAAATATATTTTCTTGGATATAACTGGTGATAAGGTCTTTCCTGTTTTAAGGAATTATTTAATTAGTTTAGATAAATGCTTTCCTGCCATTGAAATGACTGCAAATTTTATTCTAATAAAGCTAGGGTTAATTAATAATCCAAAATGCTTACCAGTTCATCACACACTGCCTCTGAAGAATTTTAATTGCTTTTTGTTATTGCTTTATTAGCAAAAATAAAGATAAAGCAATGTACTCAGATTCATGCATATGTACTTACTTAATTCTAGCCTCATGAATGCCAAGTTCTTAAGATGATGCATGAATGTTGGGCACAATCCAGTAATTTTTGAAGTCAAAAAATAACTTAAACACAAAGATATAAATATTTGCCTCTAGGCATCAAAGCTGCAGGGTAATACAGAAAGCAATAATTTAAGAATCCAGTAAAATAATATGTACATAGTTTTTAAAAAGAAGAAATATAAAATGTACTTGAGAAGTTTTTAAAAATTGAACTTGATTTTTAGAGACAAAAATGACATTGATTTATAAAGAAAAATCTCCTAAGCATATCAGCCAAATTCAAAATAAACTATGATAGGTATTTAAATAAGCAAAAAAAATATGAGAGCAGCAACTGTATGTAAGATAACTTTCTAGAATATAATATAAAAAATAAAAATGGTCAGTACTACATTGTTCTCAGTTCAAAATCTTGATATGCACCCTAATTTTATATAACAAATACTGAAAATAACCAAAATGTGCAAAGGAACTGTTTTAAAAATTTTGGTACAGCTATGCACTGGAAGATAATACATCCATCGAAAATGAAGATGTAATAAACATTTATTAACATATTCATAATATATCGCCAAAGTAAAGAAAGAATATTACCAGGTGCATACATCCATGGTACCTTTTTAGAATAAAAGAATAAATATCTATATATTTAGCATAGAAAAAATATATATACCAGCTGTATGTGTACAAAAATGTAACCAAGAATAGTTTATCAGAGAATATTCACTGAAAGCATATTTTAACTTAGTTCACGTTACAGTGATTCAAATTCAGTGTGTGCTGCATTCTTTTGGAATCTCTCCTTATTACTGGTGATTAAAGGTACCCTCTGTCTTCTATTTTTACTAAATAGTAGAAAGGGCATCTCTGGGATCAGGTCCCCTAAGCTGACCTTTAGGTAGAAAATGTCCCAATATAAAAATGTATCTCAGTCACCAATACTATCAGCCACATAAAATTTTAATCCAATTAAAGAAAAGAATGCCTTAGGAAGACTAGTCATGGATAATGCCCCTCCTTGTCTCTGAAAGCCAAAGGCCTGGCCTCCTCCGCATGGTTCTTTCCCACAGTACCTCATGTCTCCAAACTTCTTGCTGATGGCCGTCCCAACGTTGCTGAAAGCTGCAGTTGCCTTCTGCCCTGCATGACTCAGGGTTTCATGTGTTTTCTTGTAGCTAGAAATAAAACAGAAAAATAAGAACAGCTTATATATCAAGACCGCCCATAATACATTCATAGTCTTCCTCGCCTGTGTACTTAGTCACTCAGTCGTGGCCGACTCTTTGGGACCCATGGACTGCAGCCCACAAGGCTCCTCTGTCCATGGGGATTCTCCAGCAAGAATACTGGAGTGGGTTGCCATGCCTTCCTCCAGGGGATCTTCCCAACCCAGGGATCAAACCCAGATCTCCCACATTGCAGGCAGATTCTTAACCATCTGAGCCACCAAGGAACTTTTAACTCCCTTTCCAAAACATATTTAGGAAGATGATCCACAGAAGCAATTGCTTCTGTTTGTTGGGGAGGATGGATTGGTGGGTGCTCATCAGCAGGAAAGTCAGACCATGCAATCTGAATTCAGTAAAAATACACATTTGTAAGCCGAGATCTGAATGTGCAGATCTTTAATCACAAATAATGGAACTGCTCCAATAGTAGAAAATTATTCTTAAAGAGATGTGTTAACTCTATGAAAAGACAATAAAAGCTCTAGCCATCAAAGCTAACAGAGATTAGAGATGCATATTTCAAAGAGAAATGTAAGCTTTTACTATTTATGTGGGTAAAAGGAACCATAAAAAGGCAAAATAGAACTAGTACTTATTTTGTAATATGGAGAGAGGTTGGAATAAGAAGGGTGCACAATCTTAAACTAACACAGTGACATTTTTCAAAACAGTTTTAGGAATACAGTACTGCAATGATCTGTTCCTAAGCCTATGTCCCCACAAGGCTGACTCCCCGAGGGCAAGGAATCCATTCATCTTTGTGTCCCTAGGATCTGGTTGCAGGAAAAATGTGAAACTGAATAAACACTAGATGAAGGAATCAGTGATTGAAGAAGAAGCTCCTATGTGGCTCTGAACTGGGAGTTAAGGCAGTAAGAACAGAGCGGTGTGATGGATTATAGAGAGAGAATGGACAGACTTGACAATAGGTGACTAGTGACAAATGGAACAAGACAAAAAGATTGGCTTCAAGTTTTGAGCATGGTGGCAGGAAAGGTAGTGGTGTGTCCACTGGCCTGGGAAATTTCTAAGCGTTAATTAATAAAGCAGAAAACAAAAGCTCCTAACCTGAGGGAATATGTAAGTCAAGTCACTATGCTGCACTGCTTAGACTTACACAGAGCTGTATGTATTATATTGGATTTCCCAGGTGATGCCAGAGCTGTATGTATTATATTGGATTTCCCAGGTGATGCCAGTGGTAAAGAGCCTGCCTGCCAATGCAGGAGACATAAGAGACGTGGGTTCGATCCCTGGGTCAGGAAGTTCCCCTGAAGGAGTGTGTGGCAACCCTCTCCAGTATTCTTGCCTGGAGAATGACATGGACAGAGAAGACTGGTGGGCTACAGTTCTTAGGGTCACAAAAGAGTTGGACATAACTGAAGCAACTCAGCACGCATGCATGTGTATTATATTTAATATAACTATATCTCAACTGAACCAAAAAATTTGGACTGATTTTTTAAAAATTATTATAAATGAGATGGTTGGATGGCATCTCTGATTCAATGGACATGAGTCTGAGCAAAGTCCGGGAGATAGCGAAGGACAGGGAACCTTGGTGTGCTGCAATCCATGGGATCGCAACTGAAAAACAATTATTATAATGTGCATACCATCATATTCCAATATATGCTGTTCCCAAGTAAGTTCCCCAAAGCTTCCTGCTTAGCCTAGAACACTTTCATGCATATGGCACCTCCAAGAAGACTATGTCCTATGAAATCCATTATGTGGGAACTTCCCTTATCCCTCCACTCCTTCCACCTCCCACAAGTCATCCAGCCCTAAATATACTATCAGACTCTAAGCAAATGCTTTAAAACACCATTGTTGGATTTCCTTGAGACTGAAGTCACCTTAGTAATATGGTATTCTATTATTCTTTTTTGTTAGCAGCAAGAAACAAGTCTATAATATTATCAGCACCATATTTACACAATGCCTGTGTTTTTAGGAAGTGTAAAAATCATGTATTATCTAGATGATAAAATCAAACCAAACATTCATTACTAAACAGACATTTCCTAGGGAATAGGGAAAGACACACATTATACATTACACCCTAAGAGAAGGGCCCCTCTGGAGTTACGCACTGCACAGACCCTGCACCTTATGGTGCATCCTAACTGGGCTCGATCTTAAAGCTGAATAAGTAATATACATCCCCATCCAGATGCTAGGAGCCTGCATCTTGAGAAGGGGTCCTTCTGTCAGGCCACTGATAACCCCCAGGGAAGTCAGCACTGTTGCATTTTATGCCCTTCACGGTGCCACGGAATTCTGTACATAGTTCGTGCTGTGCTCAGTTGCGTCCAACTCTGGTGATCCTAAGGACCGCAGCCTGCCAGGCTCCTCTGTCCATGGGCTTCTCCAGGCAAGAGTACTGGAGTGGGGTGCCACTGCCTTCTCCAGCAGTTTATACCACTAACACTTAAACCTGTTTTTCAACTCTACCACATAAAAATATGTTCAGTAATATTCAAATAATGAAAAACAACTTAATGCTAACCTTCTGATTGACCTGACAACCTTCTAATTTAAAAGGAAGCAGTATTTAGCATTTTAGATGACTAGCATCTCTTATTTTAAGCTAAATGTGAATTACACCATTGCTGAGTTCCATAATTGACAAAACAGGAGACTAAAACATTTTCCTTAAATAAAAGTCAAAATGTTAAGATATCTTCAGGTTGCTGTCAGTTGTGCCCTAGGAGGCAGAAAACTCGAGAGTATTTGCTCTAAGAGGTCTGTGTTGTGTGCCTCTCCTCAGGGTTCCCATAACCCCCTCTGAACAGGTCTTTCCAAACATTGTTCCTTTGTGCTGTAACTAGGGTTTTTTAATCCCTCTCTGTGACTTATCTGAACTTCCTGAGGGTGGGGACCACATCTTGTTCATCAGCACTGTATCCCCAGTGCCTACAATCAACCAGAGCAAGAGCCCCAAGAGGCCAAAGGGAGGAAGTAAGAGTTCAATTGGATTCCCTGACTTCAGATACAAGGTGCAAAGCCAGGACTTTGCAGTGTGAACTTTCCCCTTCTAGAGAAGAGCCGTGGTGACCTTAAAATGAGTGAGGGAAATTTGTCCTTGCGTGCTCTAAAGCAACTCCAGCAAACACCCGCTTTGGGGGGATATGGGCTTCCTTGGTGGTTCAAAAGGTCAAGACTCTGCCTGCAATGCAGGAGACGCAAGAGATGCAGGTTCCACCCCTGGGTCGGGAAGATCCTCTGGAGAAGGAAATGGCAACCCACACTAGTATTCTTGCCTAGAAAATTCCATGGACAGAGGAGCCTGGTGGGCTACAGTCCATGGGGTCACAAAGAGTAGGACAAGACTAAGCAACTAAGCATGCACGCACATGTATATATTGATGAGAACATTAAGTTCTATTCTCTTAGCAAATTTCATTTATACAATAGTGTTTTCAACCATAGTCATTACACATTAGATCCTCAAACCTTATTCAACTTATAACTGAAAGTTTGTACACTTAGCAACCTCTCCCTATTTCACCCATACCCACCACCTCCAGAAACCACTCTTGCCTTCTCTGTTTCCAAGAGTCTGACTTTTTTTAGGTTCCACATATAAGTGACACCATGCAGGTTCTATCCTTCTCTGACTTCACTTAGCATAGTGCCCTTAAGGTCCATCCATATTATTGCAAACAACAGGATTTCCTTTTCTCATGGTTGAGTAATATTCCATTGTATCTGTGTGTGTGTGTGTGTGTGTGTGTGTGTGTGTGTGTGTGTGTATCTTTACATTTTAAGGAATGGGTAACCTTTAACCGTAGAACAGGTGAGCTGTTTGGTCAGCATACCGACAAAGGACTCTTCCTCACTTCATGTCCTAGTGATTTGAAAATCAGTGTTAACAATCAAAAGGAGAAAGCATGTCACCCTCTAAAGTGTTCTGACTTAAAGCATTTTTCTACATGCAGGTAGAAGAAAAAATTTTTAATTCAACAGTCTTTTTACAAGAAGATGTTTTATAGCCCAAATCTATTTTCTATTATGGGATTTAAAAGAGACCAGTACTTTAACAATTGCATACGCAGCACTTCACCAAAGACACAAAACTATTTAGGCTTCTTCTCTTCCAAAGGTTCCCTAAACACAACACCAAATTGCAGATTTACCATTTGAATCTAGAAAAGTAGAACCTATGTTCTACCTTGTATGATGAGGCCAGTACAAAGAATGAACAACCATGAGAGAGATGGGCTATGTGGTCTTTTAAAATTATGTCTTTAATCTTCACTGGCACTTCTGAACCTGATGGTGCCACAATTCCTCATAAAAAGATATAATAATCTTTACTGACCAAAATGGGCTGGAAGCCTTAGAAGCACAAAAATCAAAGAGTAAATAAATCATATACCAAGCTTCAATTTTCAAGCACTGTGCATTTTTTAAAAAGCTGAATGTTAGAGTTTTACTCCTTTGTATATAGGGTCAATTTATTAAAATTCCCAAAAGATGAAATAGTTGAAATTCCATTCCATGACCTTCTCCGCTTTGTAGACTACCATTTGGTCTATGATCCAACTCAGAGGGGTTTATTGTTGGGGCAATTTTACGGGTTAGCAAAGGCCAAACATTCACTAAAATGAAGCATTTCAGTTTGAATAGCCCACCATGACATCAGGTTTTCAAATTACTTTTCCTTCTATCTCCAGAAAAGATTCAATTTCACCTCCAATGGTCTCCCCACCTCTTCACCCCAAGGCCACCCACCTCCTCTTTGCCTCCTTAAAGCCTAAAAACATTATAAAGCTTCAGAGAAGAGAAAAGAAGAGGGTAGGTGGACGTTTTGTGTGTGTTCTTAGAGTCTCTGAAATCAAGGCACCCTAAAAACAACAGTAACAACAAGCCCTGGGACACAGATGACCTCTTGACCTAATACTGTATGGTTATCTTTCTATAAAGGAGATAATTTTAATCTGCTGTGTAGTTATTCCTATTCATCTGGTTTCATTCCAATTTGAATCCTACCACAAACTAAAATATGCAAAATCTTTCATTAACATATCAGAGGTTTTCTTTTCATTATAAATCAAACTAAATAGGTCATGACTGTTTAATCAGTATGCAAAATATTGCCTCTGGAATACCTGTAGTGCCTTGACAGCTAAAATTCTTTTTAATGCTTTGAAATCTAATTCTATCCAAGCTCACCCTACCCCAGTTCATCACTCCTTCACATCAAAATTTTCACCACATGATGCATAGATATTGTTCTAAAATCAGTATGATGTACATTAATAGCAGGAATTTAAATATTCAGGGGAGAGAAAAAAAGGAAAGATGGGTGAATGGAAAAAATAATGAATCTTACACACATATCCATCAGCCACAGTTAATCCCAGTTAACATACTGGTTTCCTTTCAGTCTTTTTTCTACATATATATATTTTATAAGTGAGATGGGTTTTCATTGAATATTATGTTAGCTAGCATTTTTCCATGTAACTAATTTTTTTTGAAAAGTAGCATTTTAATGGATGCAAATTATTTAATAAACAATAATTTATTTCACCATTAAAAATATTCAGGGGAAAAATAGATTCTATGATCACACCCTACCCCCTGTCCCAACATAGGACTTTTCCCTTCCCTCAGCAGTCAAGAAAAAAGGGTGGGAGAGAATGATCTGAAATTACGTTGCTGATAGACTCAGGCCTCCCTCTTAAAAAAAGAGATTTATTCTTCTTTACAAAGGAAAGTTCACATCATTCCTAAAGGTTAGTGAGACCATAATCATCTGTATTTACTAACTAATCTCTGAGGAAATCTATTCTAGTCCTGTAGCTTTCACTGCATCAATATGTAGATAACTCTCATGTCCATCTCTAGCCCTGACTTTTCCTCTGAGTTGCCCCCTTGGGGCAACTTGTTGGTCTGTTGGGCATCTCAGACTAAACACAGCTCAAACAGAATTTTTTTCAACATTTTATTTTGTCTTGGTTGCCAAGGCGTGTCCGACTCTACGACGCTATGGGCTATTGCCCAGCAGGCACCTCTGTCCATGGGATTTTCCAGGCAAGAATACTGGACTGGGTTGCCATTCCCTTCTCCAGGGGATCTTCCTGACCCAGGGACTGAAGCCAGGTCTCCTGCATTGCAGGCGGTTTCCTGCATTTCCGGCAGATTCTTTACTGACTGAGCCACCAGGGAAGCCCTTGTATTGGGGTGTAGCCGATTAACAATGTTGTGATAGCTTCAGGTGAACAATAAAGGGACTTAGCTGTATACATGTATCCATTCTCCCCCAAATTCCCTCCCATCCAGGCTGCCACATAACATTGAGCAGAATTCCACGTGCTATACAGCAGATCCTTGTTGGTTATCCACTTAAAATATAGCAGTGGACCTATCCATCCCAAACTCCCTAGCTATCCCTGCTCCCCATTCTTCCCCCCTTCCCTGTCAACCATGGTTCCTTCTCTAAGTCTGTGAAGCCAAAACAGAATTCTCAGATCTCCCCACCAGACCTGCTTCCTAGAACAGCAAACATGCATACAAAGTGTCAGATGCTGTCTGCACTCATTGAATCCTCACTACCTATGATAGGTACTAATATGATCTCATTTCATGGAAGCCCCTCTATGCTTGGGAGAAAAGTATCAGCAAAGAGAAAAACTGTTTCCCACTCAGATACTAGGAATGTAATATCTTTAAATTCCAAAAGGTAATACTAGGGAAGAAAATGCATAACACAGGTCAAAAATTTCTTGATGGTGGAATCTGGGGTCAAAGATAGGAAACCTCTATGGTTTCTCCATTAGGCCCCACTCTGCAACACACAAAAGGAAGAAAAATCACATTATGACGTGGGCACCTTCTTCCCTTTGGCACAAGACCACCTGGCAAGCAAAATATTTTAAATCATTAGAAAAGTACAATAGTTAATTATTTTGTGTAATTTTAAAAAGTAACCCCATAAAAGCAGGACTGTAGAATACTCAAAGTTATTCTGTACCTTGCCTAATATCAGACAAGAAGATAACAGCAAAGCTGAAAACATTTCTGCTGGTCTGAGAAAGAAAAATGTGCTTCTCCAGTGTTTCTCCTGTCCTCTCACACTTACCAGCACACTCATGACATTTCTGACACCAGATGTGTTTGTGTGGAGGGGTTTCTCACATCAAGTGGTTCTGCAACACCAGCTGAGTCTCCTACAATTTAATTCTGACGCTACCTGGAGATCACAGGTCCCACAGGTTAAGGGCTTGGTCCCACAAGACTGCTCCCCACTCACCCCACTTCAGATGCGAATCACAAGTCCAGATTATCACCAGTGCTCCTGACCAAAGCGTTGGTCACTCAGTCATGTCCGACTCTTTGCGACCCCACGGACTATAGCCCGCCAGGTTCCTCTGTTCATGGAATTCTTCCAGGCAAGAATACTGGGCTGGGTTGCCGTGCCCTTCTCCAGGGGATCTTCCCCACCCAGGAATTGAATCTGGGTTCTTTCACACGGCAGGTAGGTGGTCTGAGCCAGCAGGGAATTCCAAGGGGCTCTAAATCAGAGGTTCCCACAACCTCCTTCCCAAGTTCAATTAATTTGCTAGAGTGGCTCACAGAACTTAAGAAAAGAGATTACTTTCTAGGTTATACCGATTTATTATAAAAATTATACGATAAAAGATACAGATGAACAGCCCAATGAAAGAGGCATGTGGGGATGGGAACCCATCCCCGTGTTCGCATGGGAACACATGCTTTTCATGCCCTCTCCTGGGGCACCACCTGCCTGGCACTTCCACGGGTTCAGCAACCCCAAAGCTCTCCAAATGCCATATTTTTGAGATTTTTATGGAGTTTCATCATAGGCATGATAGACCATTTCCAGGTCCTTTTCCCTCCATAGAAAATGGGGGCATGGGACTGACAGCTTCTAATCATGGCTTGGTCTTTCTGGTGACCGGCTCGCCTCCAGGAGTCCAACAAGAGTCACCTCATCAGCACCAAGGATGCGGCTGTCACCCTGGAAATCCCAAGGGATTTAGGAACTCTATGTCAGGAACCAGGGTCAAAGTGCAAACATGAGAACAAAAGATGCTCCTAGTGCTCTTATCACTTAAGAAATCATATGAATTTTGGGAGCTGTGTGCCAGGAACTGGAGGCGGAGGCCAATATATACATACACATTCTATAGAGTAACAGGGATAAAAAGCACATCCCCAAAATATGAAATATACAGTTTTTTCTCTTTACATTAATGGTCAACAAGTTTTTAAAACTGTCAATCATTTTTGATAGAAATTCAAAATATGTAGTGAGTGCCAAGTATTCAAAGGATTTAGAATTTTATGGAAAAATATAAGCCTAAAGTATATATTTAACAAATGTTAAAATACATATATATATTGAAGAAAAAGAATTTAAAACTGTAAAACTCCATAAAAGTAGTCTGAGTGAAAACAGAGCTTTGGTGAACAAAGTTTTATTTCATGAAGCTACTTTGTAGAGCCTGTATCATGCAACATATTAAAGACCATCCATATTTCTATATATTTTACTTCTAGAGAAAATATTTTCCCTGGACACCAGTACAAAATAAGCCTTGAAGGAAAAAAAAATATAGAAGAGGCAAGACAGCAGGCTGAGTGATTTCTTTTTAAGAAAAAAAATATACTTACGCAGTAGTTGTCTGCACGTCATGCCAGCTTCTGCTAAAGTTCTGTTTTAATTCATTCATCAGGTTCATGCCGAGTTTTTGTTTTATCTCCACAAGATGCCTTTCTTTTGCTGATAAAACTTGTCGTAAGGTTGTAATTTCGTCTTCCAGCTACAAGCAGGGAGGAAAATGATGGGGGGAAATGTCAGATCAGGTGAGACATACAAGGGCAGAAGCTCTCAGTGATCCAAAGCACCCTGGGCACCCTCTTGTTCACACAGCCCCATGCAAGGCCTTAGCAAACACATCCTGTAGAGAAGTCTAATATTTTCAATGAAAGTATATTTTTTAGTTTGATTGATTCTAAATGTAAACACTACTCCTTGTAAAAAATTCACTCATACAGCAAAATACAAAGGCAATAAAAACCATGTGTAATCTACTAGGAAATAGACACTGCTTAGAGTTTTTGGTTTTCAATCATCCAAATGTTTTTCTAAAATTATACATAGATATAATTTTTGAACAGGAAATTTATTTTGTAGTCTATACCTAATAACTTCTTTTCAAGTGCCATTGGTCAGTGTTATTTTTTTTGCCATCCACACCTAAGCATACATTGTGGTTTTGCTAAGCTGGCACTTTAATACTTACGTTTTTTAAAAAAATGGAGCATCTAAGTCTCATTTACATTCCAAGTGTCACTCTACTCCTGACCACAAACAGCATCACTAACCCTGTCAATCATCTTGCAAATGTGTCCCCTGGGTCACCAGAGACATAGCTGCTAGAAAAACATCTCAACAATGACATCTACTTTTGCAAAAATAGTGTTGTAAACCCTTGTATTCACAAAAAATCACTCAAACAAAACAGGCAGAAATACTGAATCAACTACCTGAAATATTCTAGTAGAAAAGAAAAATATCTTGGAACTTTTAATATCAGCAAAATGTCCTAGGAATCTAACATTATCCATTTTTTTTACAGTTGTGAAACGTTTTTGTATGTTCATGGAAATCTTTTTGAAGTCTTTCTAAAATGAATTCCACCTTCCCTAACATGTTATAATTAGTAGCATCCTATGTTTTTTTTTTTTTTTTGGCCCTGCCAAGTGCTCTATGGGATCTTAGTTCTCCAACCACAGATCAAACTCATACCCTTTGTGTTGGAAGCACAGAGTCTGGACCACTAGAGAAGTCTTACACTGTCTCTTCTTGACAAGCAAGAATCTTCAGTATGTGGATATATACTCATTACTCCAAAAGGAGTATATTCAGGGGCAACCATGGGGGACTGTGGTTTTAGTCTCTGCATTAAATGAGAACACACTATCATTTTAAAATCAGATCCTTGTATCCTTTTGCTCTCATAGTATATTCCATATTTTCATCTTAGTCAATGTGCTCATCGGCATTTAGTCTGTTGCCTAAGATTTCTCAAGGTTGTATCTCTAGCTCTCTTACCATAGAAAATACTTGGACTTCAGGTCAGCTTTTTATTCAGTATAGGAAGACTTTTTTCTTCTTTCTTTTGAATAAATAATATGTTTAAGTGACTGAAATGACTGGGAATCTGGTTTTGTAGATATATTAGGTATTACTGCTTTTTCCAATGTGTAACAAGAGTAATGAGAAATTTTTTAACTTGCAGAGAAAAATTAAAGAGGTAGAGAAGGAGAGGTTTAAACATCTTGGTATTCTCATCGTTTTATCTACAGTACCTCAGAAATTTATTCAAAATTATGGGGGACAGTAGGATATTCATTAGTTTTGGGGAGTTTGGAAGAATGGGTAGAGGATTCATAAGATTTCTAATGAAATCCATGATCCCAAAAAAGTGATAGAAATATTGAAGTGACCAATTAATCAAACATCATCCTAAGGAAATATTAAATCCCACATCTAATCATTTAAAAATTGAAGCATATGTTAAAAGGTATTTGTAGAGAAAAGACTTCTAATGATGGAAACATGAACTCAGTTACTCTATGCAGACTAATGTCAGGTACCATAATGAAAGTCTCACTATTTCAAAAAAATGTAAGACACACTTCTTAATGCTTTCATTTATATATCAGTGATCTAAATATAATATATGCCAAAATAGCTATTAAGAAAATCCCAAAAGGTAAAATAAAAAGATAATTCTTAAATTGCACTATCATACAAGACTGAGAATGGTCAATCTCATCTCTTTCTGCAGAGCAGAGTCCTGACACAGCAGAAAGTCCTTTAATCACAAATACTTTAGATGATGATCCTGGTGAGATTCAATCCCTTATTGGACTAATGAGAATTTTTGACCTAGTTACATCAGTGGTTCTCAATTTCAGTTTATATAAACGTCACTCAGAAAGCATATTTAAAATGCAGATTCCAGAAGGAGGCCCCTTTTAAGGCCCTGAGATTCTGATGTCTCAAATTTGGTGAGGCCTGTCTATATATATTATTTAACAAGCAACCCCAGATACTCTGATACAGGTAGTATAGAAATTCTACATTGTAAGTATTATAAGTATCCCTGTAAGCCATATCAAATTCATTTTGGAATGAGCTGGAGTGCAGGTAAATCATTAATTAAAGTATTTAAGATATCCTTTCCCCATTAGTTTTAAATTAATCATGTCTTCATTAGAAACTAATAGTCTGGTTCTTTGGTTTCTTGACCCCCCAAGGAGATCTCCTTGTAGGATAAATATTTATGTACAAGATTAGATATTTACACTTGGTTACTTAAATATGAATGAATAGGAATTTAAGTGTTGGAGAGGATGTGGAGAAATTGAAACCCTTGTACATTGCTGGTGGGAATAAGAATGGTTCAGCCACTATGGAAAATAGCTCAGCAGTTTCTCAAAAAGTTAAAGGGGGAATTACCATATGACCCAGCATTCCTATTTCTACTATATTCCCCAAAGAATTAAGAACAGGTACTCAAACAAATACATGTATATACATGTTCATAACAGAACTATTCCCAATAGCAAAAAGATGAAAACAACCCAAATATTTATCAAAGGATGAATGGATAAATAAATTGTAGTATATACATAAAATGGAATATTATTTAGTCACAAAAATAGATGAAGTACTGATATAAGCTACAACACATATGAACCTCAAAAACATTTGGCTAAATGAAAGGAATCAGACACAGAGGGTCACATATCATATGATTCCACTTATATGAAATACCCAGAATAGCTGAATCCAGAGACAGAATGCTGGCTCATGGCCACAGAAGAGAAGGGTAAATGGGAAGCAACTGCTTAGCAGGTAAGGGAGTCCTTTCTGAGATGATGAAAATGTTCTGGAACTGGACAGAAGTGGTGTTATACAACATTATAAGAGCACTAAATGCCATTGAATGATTCAATTTAAAATAGTTAATTTTAAATCAATTTATTACAGTAAAAATGCAAAAATACAAATGAACTAATGAGCTAGCTTCAAAATAAAATTTATGTTAGAAGACTGAAGATTTACTTTTCTATATATTCTGCTATATTACATGAAATATGTCGCAAATACAGAGAAAGAAATAGCTTTTTAAACTATTAATTATCAGTATGATGTTTAGGAGTAAGAGCCTTTGGTTTCTTGTTCATTCTGCTATGAGTCATGCTTCTTCTCCTGCCCTGGCTGAGAGTAAGGAAGAGTTAAAATTAAAATGCAGATAATACCTGAGAGAGTATGACAGGCCATGGGTTACCAAGATATTTGGTCAAACATTATTCTGGCTGTGTCTTTGAGGGTGACTATGCATGCAGTTAACATTTAAACTGATACTGAATAAAGCAGATTGCTCTCCCAAAGTTGGTGGGCCTCACCCAATCAGTTGATGACTTAAATAAAACGGCTGACCCTCCCTTGAGTAAAAGGGAATTCTATCTGCCTGACTGTTTTTGATCTGGGACGTTGTTTTGTCTTTTTGTTGTTTGGCTTTTTTGTTTTTTCTTGCCTTCAGCTTCAAACTAAAACATTGGCTCTTCCCAGACCTTTAGACTGAACCACACCATTGACTCCCCTGGATGTCCAGCTTGCTGACTGTAGATCTTGGGAGCTGCCAGCCCCCAGAATCACATTAGCTGTTTCCTTAGAATAAATCTCTTTCTATATACATCCTATTGGTTCTACTTCTCTGGAGAACCCCAATTAACACAGAGGGGTGCTACAATAAGACACAATTGGTTATGAAGGCTTTAGCTGTTCACCAGTTCAGTCCAGAAAGAAATAAAAACTGGGAGAGGAAGGAAGAGCCCAGGACACTTACTTGTCAGCCTGAGACAAGTGGCTTGAGGGCACTATGTGCTTTCCTTGGGAAACCACACACCAAGATAGAACAGCCAAAAGAGGCTTGTCTACTTAGTAATGCTGTCCGGTAATTTTCCTACTCCTATTAATGCCTATTTTTCTTGAGTCATTTTATCTAGGAGACATTGGCAGTACTTGATTATTATATAATCATAAATTCACAGTTATAATGCCAACACTTCATCCTTTTCAAAAACCAAGCCACATTATAGAATACTGAGCATCAAATGCAGCTTAGCGAAATGAAAGTGGGAGTGGGATGTTAGTAGCACAGAACTAATGAGCAAGTTTATTTAAAAAGAGAGTTGGGGAAAAAAATCCCACAGAATAGATGTGTAAAGACCTCAGAAAAGATGTTAGGAGCAGCTGGTAAGAGGATTAATGAGAACAAATACTTAAAACAAATAGCATTTCTTTATATATGGACAAGATTTGTTTTTAAAAAAAAAGCCATATTCTACTTCTGGAATTTACAAATACACATATTTGTTGGTGCTATGAGTCAAGTTCATTAGAAATCTTAATTGCGCACCTTCCGTGTATACACAAACCACTGCATCAGGTCAGAAGTGATGTTGGTGTTGCACTGAAGGAACTTTTTTCTTTCTTTAGAGCTAGGCTTTTTATTGAATGTGTTACTAAAGAGGTAGAGTGAAAAAAGACCAGAGCCCACATCATCATCAGACTCTTCAGATTCTAGTGCCTTTGCTTCTACTTTCTTCTCAGCTGGGGAGGCAGTGGTGGCTGGGGCAGGTCCGCCAGCCCCAGAGGAGGCTCCCTATGTTGACACTAGCCAAAGCCTTTGCAAACAAGCCTGGCCAGAAAGGCTCAACATTTACACCAGCTGCTTTTTTTTTCTTTTAATTAATTTATTTATTTTAATTGGAGGCTAATGACTTTACAATATTGTAGTGGGTTTTGCCATACATTGACATGAATCAGCAAACACATGTACACCAGCTGCTTTAATGAGGGCATTGATCTTATCCTCTGGACCGTCACCTCATTGTCGTGCAGAATGAGGGCCGAGTGGATGCAGGCAAGCTCCTAGACAGAGGCCAGAGTGCAGGCGAGTTAGTTAGGAGGGGGCTGCCAGGCACAGTGCTAGTTGCTGGATGAAATGAGAGCCTCACCCCAAAATGGCCTTAGCTTCCTCAGAAGGACCAAGCACCTTAGCAGCAGCAGAGGAAAGCTGAAGGAACTTTTAAAAACATGCATATTGCATGACCACAATAACAAACTCAGGACTGAACAGAGTCCCCTTTAAAATGCAGACTTCCGTCTAAGGTGTAGTAGCCTCTTGGACAGTGTTTGCTTACCTCTCTCTTCTCCAGGACAGGTTTTCCTGCAGCCAGCACTTGGTAAGCAGAACAGTGTGCTGTTTGTGTGAGTGAATGCCCTTACAGATTCACCCTGAAGTCTCAAGGTGTCCTCCTGGGAATATGGACTACAAAACAGCGTAAGGTAAAAGCAGAGCAGGGTGGATCCAGCACAGCTAGCAGACAGTAGGAGAACCCGAGGGAGGGGAGTGTACGGGACAGGAGACCGGGTGCCCGGCATACCCTGCAACCCCTTGAAGCAAAGCAGTCAGACATAAGACGTCCTCCTATACAAAGCTCTTGCCTGGGATCATGGCCACAACTGACTGCCTGACTCGAAAGCAGTGTAACAGGCTGATCTGTGAGGGGTCCACCCACGTGGCTAACAGACCCAGTGGGATCTTCCCTCAAACAGAGAGGAGCTGCTTGTGAGCAGGGGTCCTGGAAGAATATCTGTGGAGAACGAGGTAGATAAGCTGAGCTGTTTACAAGACGTCTCAGTTCTTCCTAGGGCCAGCCGTGGGACCGCTGAGATGTCCTTGATACAATTAAACCCTAGCATCCGAGGTCACCTGAATGCACGTGTGGTCTGAAAGAACCTAATCTGTGCATGTGTGTGTGAAGAGCAGGCACTGTATAAGGGCAGAGAAAGCGGGTTTAAGAAAAGAGTGAGCATAAAGCATTGGTGGCCCGAGGTGGAGGGAGAAGAAATGGGAATGTGAAAAGGAAAAATAGCAGATAACTTCCTTTGCTTTTTGCTGCATATGAGGCAAAGAGCTGTGCCCAGTGTCCCCAGAAGTCACACTGCCGCCTTGAGCAAGATGCAGTGCTTCTTCATCCCCGAGGAATCCAGAAATGAGAGACAGGAGGCATGGAGGCTAGTGCATCCTAAGGGATGCAAACATCAATCCTGATAACATGAACAAGTAACAGGGAGTCTGATGTTACCTTCAGAAGTCAGGCTCAAAAAGTCTTAGGATGAGACACAATGGAAGATCGTTAATGTGGTCAAATGAGACAAAAATGTGAAAACACTGGTTTTTTATATTCATGGGGGCAACCATTGAGAACCAAGGCTTACTGTTTCTCGATTATCAAAGTAATACACAATCATTGTTGAAAGTTTAGAAAATATAGAAAGCAGGCACACAAAAACATAGATGTATATATCTATCCATCTATCTACCTATCTATCTATCAGTAATTGCCGAATGAAAAATCAAGTCATTGTATAAAACTTGGTCTGTTACAGACATGTATGAACTTAAACTTGGACGGTAGCATGAAGGAGTTAAATTTTAGCTTAGAGTCAGTTAGCTAACACCAGTCTGTAGAATATAACTCTTGGACGGCAAAACTGACACAAACAAGTCATGATCCAGGATTCCAGGCCTTAAGAAAATGTGGAGCTAGGACGTTCTCTGTCAAGGCTGACTGGTCCATGAACTCTGACAGGTGTGGCCAATCTGAAGTCAACAAGGTGGTTCTGGATCAGTGGCCACAGACAGACCCAGCTAAAGAAGTAGGTCATTCGATCTGAGGCACTGTCCATACTAAAATAATTTTTGCTGCACTAGAAGAACAAGCTGCTCTTTTATTTGAGCATGAAGTTATTTTAGGGTGTGTCTTGTGAAAGCACCTGAAATGTCTTCAGTATTATTAAGAGCTATCATGAACACTCACCATCAGAACCTTAGAGCTTGGAGAGTCTGGGATGAATGAAGTGGGGTGATGGTAAGGTGAAGCTTAATTTAAAGCAATAGAAGAGGCCCAAGCAGGAAGGCGGAGCCCTGCTTCCCTCTGGACTGGGGACTTCCCGTCCTCTGAGCCAAAGATTCAAAATGGGGAGGAAGACTGGCCCCTTCCCTTTTGCCCTATTGCTGCTTCTACTTACGAAGCTCCCCTTCTTCTGCGCTTTCCTCCTACAATGTAAACGCTCCTTAGCAAAGTGTTGAGGGGCTAGTGGGTGCTAAGACAAATGGCTTGAACTAAGAGTTGTCCTCGCGACAAGCCAGGCAGCCTCCCCGAAATTAGGACCAGATGCTCGGAGCAACTACACAAGATCTAACGAAGCCTAAAGACATCACAGTTCCCTCTCCACCCCCAGAGCTTTATTCTTCTGAAAAAGAGCACATCAATTTAATAAAGCAGTTGCTTCCAAGACTGACTTGTCATTATAAAAATAAATCATTTCCAAGTAGTTGTTGAGCTAAGCTGCTGACCAAAAACAATAACTGCTCTTAAAGGTAGCTGGCACCTAAACTGAGGTCTTGAAGGAATTCCATCAGGTTTAAGCATTGTGATACTAAATATGAGGTGCATCTTTACAACTATTTATTGTTGCTTGAGCATCATGACCATTTGTTTTCCTATGGTCATCAATGGGTAATGGATCATTAGCATTAAAAAATACCATAGAAAAATGAATCACCTTACAATTCATCACTTATTCAATTTTATTAAATGAAAGACAACATAACTATAATATGGACCTTTTATTGGGCCATATAAATGTTCCAATATATTCGTCCCTATAAATGGACCTCCATTTCATAAGACCTTAAGGAAAAACTCAAACAAACTTTTTGGCTGACCCAACATCAGACTAACAAGAATTCTGAGAATCCGGAGATATGCATAGCAACAAGAAGATCACTAAGCATACATACCTGAACTAGTTCTGCCTTTAACTCTTCTTTTTCTTCCTCGGAGAGCATGCTAGGGGAGTCAGCACTGGCTATTGCGTCTTCATCTCTTCCTTGCAGTGGTTCGGTCTCCAGCAAACCTTTAGGCAAGATTGGTAAAATATACTGTCATTTAAAGAATGGATTTAGCCAAATTCTAGTTCCACAGTCTGAAGGACTAGATACTCTGATCGACTCTCTCTCTGAAAAACAACTAAAAATTCCAGAAGAAAATCATTCTAAATGTGTAATGAGCTGCCAAGAAAGTGAAGAATACTAAGAATCCCCCAAAGTTGCCACCGAGATGAATCCCAGCCTCGGTTTTCACTGTCCCATGGGATGCAGAGGACTGAGGACAAAGCCCAGGACTATTCAGGGAGAGGATTTTATGAAGAGACCCCTACATAAATCTACCTCCCCACAGGGCTACACTCTGAGAGTAAGGTGAACTGGAAATAAATACCCTTTCTCCCCACAGGAGAGAAAGGCAGATCACCTGCCTTGACCCTCAGCACAGAATGGACAGACCAATAAAGCCTCCCCTGAGAATTCACGACATCCTGAGGTGGTCCAAAAAAACCTTGAGATCAGTTCAGTTCAGTTCAGTCCTCAGTCATGTCCAACTCTTTGCGACCCCGTGGACTTCAGCACGCCAGGCTCCCCTGTCCATCACCAACTCCCGGAGCTTACTCAAACTCATGTCTATGGAGTCGGAGATGCCATCCAACCATCTCACCTTCTGTCGTCACCTCCTTCTGCCTTCAATCTTTCCCAGCATCAGGGTCTTTTCCAATGAGGCAGTTCTTCCCATCAGGTGGCCAAAGTACTGGAGTTTCAGCTTCAACATCAGTCCTTCCAATGAACACCCAGGACTGATCTCCTTTAGGAGAGACTGGTTGGATCTCCTTGCAGTTCAAGGGACTCTCAAGAGTCTTCTCCAACACCACAGTTCAAAAACATCAATTCTTCAGTGCTCAGCTTTCTTTATAGTCCACTCTCACATCCATACATGACTACTGGGAAAACCATTGACTAGATGGACCTTTGTTGGCAAAGTAGTGTCTCTGCTTTTTAATATGCTGTCTAAGTTGGTCATAGCTTTTCTTCCAAGGAGCAAGCATCTTTTAATTTCACGACTGTAGTCACTCTCTGCAATGATTTTGGAGCCCAAAAAAATAAAGTCTCTCACTGTTTTCATTGTTTCCCCATCTATTTGCCATGAAGTGATGGGACCGGATGCCATAATCTTAGTTTTCTGAATGTTGAGTTTTAAGCCAACTTTTCACTCTCCTCTTTCAATTTCATTAACAGGCTCTTTAGTTCTTCTTCACTTTCTGCCATAAGGGTGGTGTCATCTGCATATCTGAGGTTATTGATATTTCTCCTAGAAATCTTGATTCCAGCTTTTGCTTTATCCAGCCTGGCATTTCACAGGATGTACTCTGCATATAAGTTAAATAAGTAGAGTGACAATATATAGCCTTGACGTACTCCTTTCCCAATTTGGAACCAGTCTGTTGTTCCATGTCTTGTTCTAACTGTTGCTTCTTGATCTGCATACAGATTTCTCAAGAGGCAGGTAAGGTGGTCTGGTATTCCCATCTCATGAAGAATTTTGCACAGTTTATTGTGATTCACACAGCCAAAGACTTTGGAGTAGTCAATAAACGAGAAGTAGATGTTTTACTGGAACTCTCTTGCTTTTTCAATGATTCGATGGACGTTGGCAATTTGATCTCTGGTTCCTCTGCCTTTTCTAAATCCAAATTTGAACATCTGGATGTTCACGGTTTATGTACTGTTGAAGCCTGGCTCAAAGAATTTTGAGCCTTACTTTGCTAGCGTGTGAGATGAGTGCAATTGTGCAGTTGTTTGAACATTCCTTGGCATTGCTTTTCTTTGGGATTGGAATGAAAACTGATCTTTTCCAGTCCTGTGGCCACTGCTGAGTTTTTCAGATTTGCTGGCATATTGAGTGCAGCACTTTCACAGCATCATCTTTTAGGATTTGAAATAGCTCAACTGGAATTTCATCACCTCCATAGGAAGCATCACTACAAACAAACCTTGAGATAAGAGGTATTAAATAAAACTCTTTTCCACTTTGGTAATGGAAATATACATGTATGGAGCCTAGAATAGCTGCGGCAGTGAGGAAACATCATGACCACACAGACTTTTGGTAAGGCATGTGGGAAATGCCCAGGTTCTTGGTGACACCCTTGTGCCATAGATTGTCAAGGGACTTCTGACTTGTCATGTGAGAAGAATGCCTTATTAGCAAAAAATTAAAGAGGTTCCCTATGGAGTTCGTCAGCATCTGGTCAACACACGTGCATTGTTCTCTGGGTGCGTAGGACACAGGCACACACATATAGGGAAGTTTTATTTAGGACATGAATTTCGACAGTGCTGGCATTTATACATCTCTGTATAAATGGAGGTCATACAATAAATTCTACTGGAACAACTTGTTACCCATATTAAAAAAATGAAATGGGACACCCTCACACCATTCACCAATATTTAATTATAGATATTTTAGAAGACAATAGGGGACTTCATATTTTTGATGGACATGAGTTTGAGTAAACTTCGGGAGTTGGTGATGGACAGGGAGGCCTGGCATGCTGCGATTCATGGGGTCGCAAAGTCAGACACGACTGAGTGACTGAACTGAACTGAACTAAGAAAGGATTTCTTAAGATACACAAAACAGGGAAAATCATGAAAGAAAGGAGGGATAAGATTAAGAATAAGGTATCACCTCACACCTGTCAAAATGGCTATTGTCAAAAAGACCACAAATAACAAATGCTGATGAGGAGAAAAGGGAATCTTTGTGCACTGTTAGTGGGAATGTAAATTGGTGCAGCCAATATGGAAAGCCAGTATGGAGGTTCTTCAAAAAACCAAAAATAGAACTTACTGTATGATTCATCAATTTCACTTATGTGTGTTTACCCAAAGAAAACAAAAGCACTGATTTGAAAAGATATATGTACCCCAATATTCAAAGCATAATTATTTATAATAACCAAGATATGGATGAGTCTAAGTGTCCATCAACAGATGAAAGGACAAAGAAGACATTGCAACAAAGTGGATGGACCTAGAGGGTATTATGCTTGGTGAAATAAGTCAGAGAAAGACGAATAACTGTCTGTTATCATTTCTATGTGGAATCTAAAAAAATAAAACAAACAAATAGAACAGAAACAGCCTCACAGATATAAAGAACAAACTGTTACCAGTGGGAAGAAGGATCAGCAAGGGGAAACATAGGGGTATAGGATTAAGAGAGACAAACTACTATATGAAACAAATAAGAATCAAGGATATATTGTAAAGCACGGCCAATATTTTTATAATAACTTTAAATGGAGTATTTGTTGTTTAGTTGCTCGGTCGTGTCCGACTCTGTGTGACCCCATGGACTGCAGCACGCCAGGCCTCCCTGTCCTTCACCATCTCCCAGAGGGTGCTCAAATTCATGTCCATTGAGTCGGTGATGCCATCCAACCATCTCATCCTCTGTCGTCCCCTTCTCCTGCTGCCCTCAATCTTTCCCAGCATCAGGGTCTTTTCCAATGAGTTGATTCAACATATCAAAATACTGAATCGGCTTTTCACCACCAAAGACCACAGCTCTTGTCAGGCAGTTTTCTTCTACAGCTCAGCTCCCGTCTAGTTCCTAGAACCCTGACCTCTCCTCCAGCTTAGGGACTGTATTGATTTCCTGCTGCTCTCATTCTGGGGAACTTCAATATCCCCTGTTGATTTCCCTCAATCCTTCCTATCTTTCTAATAGTTCCTTCATTAAACTCTCTTGAATCAGGCACCTTTTTTGAGCGTGACATCCATCGAGTTCTTTCCTGGTCCCTGACTGATACAGGAAGATTGCCTCCACTCTCCTTTTATTTTGGGGTGAGGTGTCTAGAAAAAAAAAATATCTTTCAGGTTTTCCCATACCAACCTGGAACACAACCACATCTCTGTAAACTGGGCCGGTGCTGGGTGGTGGGGCAGATTGACACCTGGTGTTTAGTTTCCTAATTCACTCTTCTGCAATCAGGTAACCATGCATGGGATCCAGAACACCCCTCATACTTAGGGAGAAACCTGCCACCTTGGCAGGGGGTTGGGGTCCTGCAGCCTGAGTGGAGGGTCCCGGCTCTGGCCAGAGGTCTGGATGGAGGAGGTAGAGAGATCTCACGCCAGCGAGTGCCAAAGGGAGGCTGAATCAGCCTGGAAGGGCTACTGGGCCCAAACTCGGGTGAGGAAGACAAGATCACAAGCACTATCTTTAGAAAGCAGCAGCAGCAGCAGACTTCACGGTCCCAGCTGCCCAAAGAGCCAGAGCAGAATACAAGGCACTGCATGGGCCCTTCCTGCTTCCATATACTAGCCACCCCCTTAGCTGGGACAAGGGAAAGGGCAGTTGAAAAAGGAGAATTCTCAGCTCAAGGGTAATTTTACTGAGGAATTGAGTATTACTTAAAGGGGCTTTAAAAATGATTGCACTGGAATGGACTGAACCGCTTTTTCTTCCACACTATCCAAAGCCCAAGGGTGGTAGGGATACAGGTATAGATCAGGGAAAGGTTTAAAAAACAAAATGGAGCACATGTATGTACACCAAGATGTAGTGTGAACAAATCTTGTGGTCCTGCTGTGGAGTACTTTGCACGCAAAGATGGCATTTTACTTTCATTTACTTGCTGTTGCTGTTCAGTCATTCAGTCATGTCCAGCTCTTTGCAACCTGTGGACTGCAGCACACCAGGCTTCCATGTTCTTCACCATCTCCCAGAGCGTGCTCAAATTCATGTCCATCGAGTCGGTGATGCCATCCAACCATCTCATCCTCTGTCGTCCCCTTTTCCTCCTGCCTTCAATCTTTCCCAGCATCAGGGTCTTTTCCAATGAGTCAGCTCTTCACATCAGATGGCCAAAGTATTGGAGCTTCAGCATCAGACCTTCTAATGAATATTCGGTACTGATTTCCTTTCATTTAGTACATGCAATAAAATATATAGATTCGTTTTAATAAAAGTAATAAATATCCACAGGTCTGACTCTACTGCAGGAATCGTGCTTCT